AAAGGCCCAACTGAACACTGGTGTGTCCCATCCCAGGGTCCCCATCCTGCCGAGTTTATTGCTATTTGCTTCCTTAATAAGAGGCGTTTCCGCTAGGCAAAGAGTAGCCCAAAAAGCCTCCAAAACAGTCTTTTGGCATGAAACTTGCTTGTCCCATACGTCTCGACCCACGAATCATGACTAATATGTCTATTGTGGGCAGATCGCTTCGTCAAAAGACCAATCAGAGTACTGGGGTTTTGCGGAAACATTGTCCCCACTACACCCAGAGACACCGATGACCAAACACTGAAACTCTAATGACGTCTTCGGCTTGCACTGCTCACATCCCTAATCCCTCAAACAGTACGGATCCATAAGGAATTTGGACACCAAAACGGATCCTTGTGGCGATACGGCAAGCCATTTTGTTTGAAAAAAAGGCTGGAAATGTGGTTAACTGACTTCCACTCAAATGCACATGAACAACTGTCCTTCAGCTGAACAAAAACATGGTAGTGAGCAGCAACAATGAAAAGATACGTACTCAACCATCTGCTTGTTCACCAATTCAAGCAGCTTTGACAGCAAACCCACGTCGAAAGCATCTTCTGTTTGTTTGATAATCACCGTATAAGGTGTCCTGTATGTGGAGAGATAACAGAGTGCGAATAATCTGTCTGGTAAATATGGAATAACAATCGCCCGAATTATAAAAACCTGGTAAGGATTTCCCAACGGGACTCTAGCTCAGGACCCTGGTGAACATATAGACTAAGAAACTCCATTTCAGGAAGCTGTATTGACTCCGTTATATCACACTCACACCGATAAGCTCTGAAGCCCCAGAAGGTTCATGAAGTCGATCCTGTGCTAGTACAAAGCAAATTCGCGGTTGCACTGCAAAGCTTCACGAGGAACCCAGAAAACCTACTGTAACTGCTTCAGGTGGGTTCAGGACTATTCTTTACGGTCACTGTGGGGCCTACATGTATTTTTCATAGGATTATGTTTTCAGGACGGGTCAGAATGAGGATGGACGGAATCCTTCACAAGGGTCATTCAAAATTTCTTCTCAACTGAGATGTATCACGGAAAACATTGTGAATAGTGCAAGCGGCATTGTGGATATCACAATGTTCCAAAGGGCCGGAACATGGTCTACTCATGAAATGCTGGGGCTGAATATAAAAACTGATTAGCTCAGAGTAGTTCTTTGTTCCTTACATTTCTATGCTTAGTTCCACATACCCCAGTCAGTCAGCCGGTCAGCCTGTCTATCTATCTATCTATCTATCTATCTATCTATCTATCTATCTATCTATCTATCTATCTATCTATCTATCTATCTATCTATCTATCTATCTATCTATCTATCTATCTATCTATCTATCTATCTATCTATCTATCTATCTATCTATCTATCTATCTATCTATCTATCTATCTATCTATCTATCTATCTATCTATCTATCTATCTATCTATCTATCTATCTATCTATCTATCTATCTATCTATCTATCTGCCTGCCTGCTTGCCTGCTTGCCTGCCTGTCTGTCTCTCTGTCTGTCTGTCCGTCTCTCTATCTGTCTGTCCGTCTCTCTGTCTCTCTGTCTGTCCGTCTCTCTATCTGTCTGTCCGTCTCTCTGTCTCTCTGTCTGTCCGTCTCTCTATCTGTCTGTCCGTCTCTCTGTCTCTCTGTCTGTCCGTCTCTCTATCTGTCTGTCCGTCTCTCTGTCTCTCTGTCTGTCCGTCTCTCTGTCTGTCTGTCTTCACCATTTTAGTCACTGGAAGAACCACCATCCTGTGCTCCCTGTGGAAAAGGTACACATCCGTCAGCAGAGTAGTAAATGTTGGTCGTCCAGTGTGCGCGCGATATCAATCTCAGCAGCTATTTTTGGACTCTGCGCACCGCTGGAAGCGCATCCATACTGGTGCTTCAGTCGACCTGTGATTTCGACTGCACAAACCCTTCAAAAACAGCCACGCACCTCGCACCCACACTACTCGCGCTTGAATTTCCCTCCTGCTGTCCTGGTACAGGTATTCCGGTGAGGTCACACCAAAAAAGTATACGAGTGAACCTTATTCGTATTAGGGCTCGTCAACCGCTTTGGGTTTTGAACTCCGGAAGTGTGACACCACTATCCTAACTGCAAACACTCGGTGAACCTGAATCACCACATCTGCGCGAGTGAGATGCCTGAACGAAATGTCTTGTTTACCCAGCTTCTCGAACAATGATCTAGTAACTTTACTGGCTGTGTCCAGTTTTTGAGTGGACCTCTATTCCAGTGCTTCGTTTAACGGGAAAAACTGAGCCAGGACTGAAGGGAAGCTGGTCAAACGAGGATGATGTGAAAATGAATTCCACAAACTCACAACCACATACAGATAATCACGTAGTTGCCTGAATACGTGTGTGGTACGCCAATAATCCTTGTTTGTTCGGACAGAATTTACTCGTCTAAAAACCTGGGAGGTCGCCAGTTGGAATGGGCAACTGGATGTGTCCACAAAAATCTTGAAAATTGAGGAAGTTCGAGGCAACAGTTGGCGAGGACGCAAATTTGGTGAGGACAGATGTTGAGGACAAAGTTGGTGAGGATATCACAGTGTGCACAGGAACCAACAGCCCTCGAGAGCATCTGAGATGTTTATGGGTTCGAGAGAGAACTCTGTTTAGAACTGGACGAAATGCAGAACAAAGCCAGATTCTTGTAACACAACTCGGCTTCCCAGCCATTATACGTTTACGCACCAATCGTACAAACATATTAGATGAGCGAATTGTCATTATTACAGGGAGAATAATCTGTCATGCAACAGTGTGCATATTCTTCCCCGTGTTCCACAAACTCCTTTCTGATCTCTAATTTCACGGGTGAATGTAGTCTCGACCAGGATATGGTGGACAATGTTGGCTGTCAACGCACATATCTGCATTTTTCAATTTGGTTCATCCCGCTCCGCATTGATGGATAGGAGAAACTTTAGTAAAATCACTTTCCCGTCACTTCCAGTTTGGACAACTACTGGTGACTGCATTGAACCACAAACGGATTCGCAGTTGTCAAGTACTGGCTTATTTCGGTTGCGTACAGTGAGGCTGGTCATCAGCAAAGGGGACAGTTCTCAGGCGACAGCCGTGTTTAGCCTTGCGGTGTTCGACAAATTTTGGAAAGCATTACAATACAGTCGGGTCTCCTACAGGCACGCAATATTTTATATTATAGCAATAAAAAATCATCCGCAAGGGAGAAAAACTCACGTTTCCGTATTAGCCGGAACAGATTTCGAACAGGACACAACCGTGCCCTCATTATCTTGGAGGGATACGATCGAGTTTCTAAGTCACGATTTTTCACCTCACCGTATTCCAGATGCCTACCTGGAGACGCCAGCCAGACCACAGATCATTTGTCGCACCTCGCAATCGTCCGACACAGGTGTGATCAAAATCTGAAAAGCAGCGGATATGCGCCATACAGGTTAAGCATTACGCGATGGGTTTTTCCATCAATGTTCAGGTAAATGGATTTTGGCGGCAAGATTGAAAATATACTTCCCATGATGAGTGTTTCTCAGTTTGTTTTCGAAAACGAACAGAGGAATATATAGTCCCTTTAGCCGATCACATGACCAATAGTTCAGACTGCAGCTTGGGCGGCGCTGTTTGGTCTCGTTACCAGGGTGATTCGCGGACGTCAGCATCAGGTCAGCCCCTGGAGGGCGGCGCTTCTTGCACTACTCGGACTCCGCAAGTAGTATAAAAGATACTCGATGTCAAATTTGCCAGCGAATTGGTTGATGGGGACATCTGAGAAACCGCTGTATGCGAAGTGACAATATCTTTGTGAGCAAATTTTGGTAACTCCATTCTGAAAAAATTGGCGTCTTCCAGAAGTGGAGATTGCGAGATCAAATCTGCTCTTTTGTGAACAAGTTATTCAGCCTGTAAGCATGAGAGCAATCCGGTCGCCCGCCATTGTTGTACGTGGAATCACCAATTGTTTCAAGCAAACTCGTGATTCCGATGCAGATCGATCTAAAACAGCACACCCTCAACAGGGATACCGATGAAAACAGTTCCCTTATACGAGAAATTCCCCTAAAAGCTTGGCGATCTCCAAATTTGCAACGTTCGTTTCACTGATGACGGGATTCTTTGCTAACCTTTCAGCAACTTGTGGGATTTCATCAGCTTGTTTTAACTGTTTCATTTTGCGACATCAATTTCCAAACAGTGAATGCTGCGGTATCACTGTAATCTCCTTGTGGCTCCCTTCCATCTAGAGTGGGGGTCAAGGTTACCGGGGATTGCAATGTTTATGAGTGGACGCTCTCTCAATAATCCACGGAGGTTTGTGTACATTATACCACGGGCACTTGGGTGTCTACCACACTGAATTGCTGTTTGATAAGCTGAACTTATTTGTATCTGTAGATCGACTGAACGGGTGAGTGAAATGGCTCACTGGTGGGAAAATGCTCCATTTTACTCACTGATCAGTGTCGAGAGGAATCTTACACAGACAGTGAATTCCCTGTCGTTTCTGATTGGCCACCTGAATGCCACTCAGGGTCCAGGGTATCTGGATATGGGAAGCTGGAGAGTTATTGAATTTTGTGGGGGGAATACTGAGAAAGTGAGTAATCACTAGCTAAGCGAACTATTATAAGCCACTTCTGATCATGCCTAGGGATTGGATCTGGCTCGCCGTCAAAGAACGGAACACGTCGACAACAGATATTGTTTTTACCATGCACTGTAGATTGGAGAGGATTCCCAACGTGTTGTGTTCAAATCTTCCGTTCGTGCCAAACATTGTGTGAACGAGTGAATTCATCGCCGGTGAAAATCTTTCGGAGACAGAAGTTTCACCAACTAAACCAGAAATCACACCTAATACCAACTTGCACAGGGGCCTTGAAAGCTGCGCAATACTCGTAAACTGTGGATGTGCATCGTGATTAAACTAGACTCTTGCACACAACCAACTGCTTGCCTGACAGTTGAACATGTCATTCAAGCGAACTCATCAGAAAAACCGGGTGAGTAGCACAATTTTTTGTGTTCCGTAAACCGAAGAATGTTCACTCTAGGAGATGCTCCTCGCAGACTTGAAGAATCTTCCGCTGCGGAAGCAGGCAGTTTGCCGCCTAAGCAAGTCTTCACTGTCGTTAATGTGCTAGCGTTCCTCTGCAGAGCGCCAATTTGCCTGCTTTCCTCTGTGCGTCTATGTGTTCCGAGAATGACAGTGTGCTAAATCTGAACAGATTTGCCGTGAGACTAAACGGGGAAAGTATGTAGTCGTAATGGCATTGAATGGTGTTCACTTGTTTATCACGTGACCACCACCACATGTTCTGACTGTCAGTTTGTGTCTGCTTGCTGGAGTATACCACTTTGGCCCGGTGGGTACATTTCGATTCAGTTTGCAATTGCTACTGTTAATCAATCGGGTAAACTGGACACTAAGTAACAAATCCTCAGCGTTATTCCGTTTTCTGCAACCCTTACTTATTTCATCCGTTTATTTTCCTATCAGTGAATACAAGTGCAATGCCAGCATGTTTATAATTGCTTTCGGTTGTGGACCACAGTCTTCTTAATGCCTTCTTATTACCGTGAACCAGAGTCTGGCGGGCCGCTTGATAGCCTGATGCGTTTAGCGAAACCAGAAAAGTTAATGAACGTGCAAATCAGCTGATTTATTGATCACCGTCGCGTACAGGCGTGTCACGTGCAGCCGAAAACGGGCCGCTTATACAGCTCACATGGAAAGTTTTAGACGGGCCAAAAAGTGATACTAAAAATAGAGCTCATCTGTCAAGGGCAGATGAAGAATAGTCAATCAAATCTGTCTCATCGAAAACGGTTATTCCATTGGCAGTTATGGAGTCCAGTCCAGCTGGTTCTCGGGATACTTTCCCGATTGAATAAGTGGAGTGCTTTCAAGTTCGTGATGAGACGGAAGAATCTAATCACACTACGAGTAGGCCATTTGTTGATCCAAGTACTTCACGTTGCATATCGGGTTCAGGGGTTTAAGTACTTATTGGGCGATCCCCAGCTAAATCCTTTCCGAAAATTGCTTCTTGAAATTTTCAGTAACCCGAGTCAGCTTTCTTCATAGTGAACGCGAAGCGAGTGAGAACCCGAAGCACTTGCAGAACCGGTGTGTTTGTTATGGCTTCTGATATTGTGCAAAACCTCGCTGGATGAATAGGCGGTCCAGTTAATCGACGAATGAACACTGAGGAGCATTAGCCCCAAACAGCCGCGAACGATGGTTGGTCGATGCCATCGGTGAAGACAAACCAATCAGAGTGATTTGAGGCAACCAATCCGTGACGCTGTGTCACGTGTAGTTATACTGGTGGGTGGCGAAGACAAACCAATCAGGTTGAGGCAACTAATCCACCACGCTTTGTCACGTGTGGTAACACTGATGGGTGAGCGAATGGTAGAAATATTACAGTGAAGCATTTTAGGAAAATACTCTGCGGAATAACACTGAATATCCATGGAAAATATCAAGAAGACAAAATTGTTTTGATTTCTGGGAATAATGATCGAACCAGTAACTATTTATCGGAATACGTAAAATCTAAAAAAAAACAACCGACGTTTCGTTTGCAAAGTAACCGCGGCTATAAAAATTCTGTGGTTCATAAGTCCTGCTCACTCATTTTTTCTTGTCACTTAGACAGTATTGTATGAACCTAAAGTGAATTGAAACTTGAATGGGTTTGGCAAAGGTAGACTGTGACCGACCCAGATCCACTAGGTAGGGACGTTCAACAAGACCAGCCTAAGCGCATAGTGAAAGCTGAAATTCGTATTAGATTTTTTCGTGGGGAGGAACAAAATGGCAATTGGAAACCAGCGGAGAAACGTGCCGCTGGTGGCTTATCAAAATGGTCGCTGAATGCCTTAGAGTGTTTACCAAACGTCCATATATAACTGAATAGACAACCTAACGGAGAGGACACCCTTTTAAGACACAAAGAAGTGTGTAAACCTGTGTGGAAACATCACAATCGAAAGGTTCACCTGGGTTCCAGGTGAGTCTCCCGAAAAACCAAATTAGTTTGTAAATGAGTGTATATTCGCTAATTTGGTGCAATTTGCTTTCAATTAGAACATAAGGTTGACGGATACCCGGGGTCTGCGCCTACCTGATGAGCCCCAAAAAGGACGAAACCGGTCGTGGGCTGTCGATGGATTTTCAGCAACCTTATAAGTAGTACATTACAAATATATGTGTATCGCGATATTTGAAATATCGTAGCGACTGAAACATGAGGCGGCCTGGTGCAGCACATTCAATTGACTGGAAACATCACAAACAAGAGGTTCAGCTGGGTTCCAGGTGAGTCTCTCGAAAAACCAAACTAGTTTGCGAATGAGTGTATATTTGCTAGTGTGGAAATCTTTGTTGCACCTTTAAATAAGAAGTATCTCCCGGAAGTACCAAATTTTATTACCCAGCTCGTGTCACGGTCACGTGAGTAGACATGAACAATTGTCACGAATACTTATACAAAACTCCAACTAATCAACCTCCTACACACTACCCTCTGAGCCCCTGACCAGAATCAGTGTCCTGTTAAACTAGCTTTCGCGTTTTCGTAATAAAATTCACCGTTTATTCTCTCTGAAATACTATCTTAGAAGCTTGGGGGGGAGATTTTCGAAGCGGTAGATAGACCATCCCGATAAGGTTGGTGTTGTGTCAGGTGGTACGGAGACCACATTTCGAGCATCTCACGACAACGGATTCCATACGGAAGTAACATCTGAAATTCACAAACAATAACGAATAGGTATATCAAACTGCTGTCACCAAGTACCCTATTCAGGTGATCAGGCATGAAATAGACTGGGACCCTACAAACGAGATGAAAGGAAATGCGAACACATACGTGCGAAAAGCCGCAGGAGTTTTGTGTAACCAACTCTAAAAGGTCCGTAGTCAGTTGTGGCAATTGCACCAGTCGAGGCGAAACGAGCGCATTATCTGATGCATCAATACCGTTCACGCCATTGCATTATTGTGAAAATGTTTGTTCGAAACAAGGCAGCGCCTCAAATATTTGTACTCACGGACTGGGTTTGGTTGAACAACTACGCTAAACCATGAACAACGCAGGTTCGTTTCCCGCGTGAATGTATTTGAACTGACTGTGAAAAGCGTCCCGGCGATCTGTTTCAGAACAAACGGCAGGGAAAGACACCGAAAACGTCCCCAAATCGCCAAGACCATCTTATTGCAATCGTGAGATTTGGTTGGTGGCCAGTTTGCAGATGTTTCTCCACAAATTGAGGTCATAACACCAACGCTTAGTGGAATTAGTTACGTCCTTCGACAAACACACTCATTTGTAAATCAGTTTCATTTTTTTGCGGGAGTGAATCCAGCCGAATCCCAAGTTTATACGATCTGTTTCAAATAAAATGAGCTGCACCAAGCCACCTCATGTTTCATTTGGTAAGATATTCGAGATATCGCCGCGTGTTTTCATGGCGCCGTCCCAGAGTTTCCATCAACCTTTTGTTCTACTTGAACCCAAATTGGACCGATTGCGAATCAATTTGGTTTTCACGGAAGACTGAAGTGAATCTCTTGTTCCTGATTCTTCTAAGGAACTGAATGTGCTGCACAAAGGCCACTGCCGTATGTTTCAGTTGGTGAGGTATTTGAGATATCCCAGTATATTTTCATAAAAGAGGCTACTCACAAGGTCACATTCTTGATTACGAATTCATCGGTTAGCAGGTTTCACAACGTCAATGTTGACCAGACTTTTATAACCAAATTACTGAGCACAGTGAATAGAATACCAGATACCCACACCAAAGCGGCTAAGTTGTCCAGTACCCGCACAAGGAAACAGAGAAAACTTATGGGATTTTGTTTCGGACTCCGAGAGGTGAGGGCTGCGTCGTTTGGTCACGTGTTTAATAAATAATTGATCACCTTGCCGACCTATTCAAACTGTCTTGAGCGCTCATACAAATACAGATACATAAGTTGGGGAACGCAATTAAGAGATAAAGGATGGATGAAATCGATCAGCTTTAGTGCGTTTTAAACTAGTGCAGGTCACGTTTCATCAGTTGAGTCATTGTTGTGCATAATTTCCACATGTTTCTTAAGAACAGCTGAACGAGAAAACGTTTTTCCGCATTGCTAACAAATGCGATCGTCTTTCGTTCCGTCATGCATGGTTCTCATATGCCGATCGAGACTCGACGATCAAGATGTACCGATCGCTGATGCTGAAACAGATTCTTCCAAGTTGAAAAGTACTTCCCGCATTCAGGAAACGGAATAGCTATTTCCTCTGATTCCTGCACTCGTTTACTGGATGTTCGCGAAGGTACATGGAACCCACTAGCATGAAATTGAGTCACGTGTTTCTTAAGACCATGCTCCAGAGTGAACAAATTTCCGCACACACTACAATAAAAGTCGCCAGCTTCGGCATGCACGTTTTCATGTATGTTAACCGCTGACAAGGAAGGGCAACGATTCTCTGCATACTTAACACTGAAGGCGTCCTTCCTGGTCTGTTTGTTTGTCCAGTTCGTCCGTTCTATCAGCGCTGGAACATTAATTCTCCGTTCCGTCAGTTGACTTTATCCCTTCTGTTGACAAAAAAAAGTGAAGAAATGCCGGTTCCTTCCGACTCAAAATGCGACAGCTAGGAAAGAAAGGGGACGAAATTGCCAACTATATGAGGAAACCTGATGCATGCACGTTTTCGTGAATGGAAACGATTCACTGCATACTTAACACTGAAGGCCTCCTTCCTGGTCTGTTTTTTATTGTCCAGTTCGTCCGTTCTATCAGCGCTGGAACATTAATTCTCCGTTCCGTCAGTTGACTTTATCCCTTCTGTTGACAAAAAAAGTGAAGAAATATATGCCGGTTCCGACTCAAAATGCGACAGCTAGGAAAGAAAGGGGACGAAATTGCCAACTATATGAGGAAACCTGATAATATTTATTTGGGAACGCCGTCGTCTAATTTTAGGATACGAAA